CCGATGTTCTTGACCACAAGAACCCCTTTCCGTATGGCTAGTCTGTCTGAAGTAAATCAGCGGGTGTGTGACAGAACTGTGGGTTCGTTGTAAACTCAAAACATTACACTAGCACTTAAAGCGATCAACCATACCATAACATCCATCTTCATATTCGTATGCCCATATGCCCATACATGCGTATACACATGCGTGTAAAGATTCGTCTAACAAACGCGTTAAATAAATCAAGGGCTATCACAGCCGAGAAGATTTCCGAGGTGATCACGCCAGTTGATTGAGTTTTACGGTCCAAGTATTGAGCTCACAACAGTGATCAGTTTCATTTCTAAAAGGTGACAAGTCAAACAGCTTCCAGTGTTCTTCAGTCTCATTGTCAACATAGCACGTTTCAATGCCATCAAGCAAAGTCGCATTCGAACTTAACCGGTTACAAACTAGTTGACTGGCGGCTCCTATTCGGTACACGACAGTACGAAATGTCTAAGTGGTATGGAGTTCAAGTGAATACCACACATTTGAACGCATCCTTTGCATTTACATGAGCTTTCCAGCAGCTCCTCTGCCCCGAACGAGTTTTTCCCGTGCCAGAACTCATCGGTGGTGCCTTTTCTTTCCCCCAAATGTACTTTTGATGCCGCTCAATGCACCATTCACGTGAATGTTAACCACTGTGCCATTAGTGTCAAACCAGACAATTGCCCTGTTAACTGCAATAGATACCCAATAGCATCCCGGTCCATGCACATGTTGGATGACAGCGTCGACCACTGTGCTACTGTGAACAGACATGGAATAGTGATTTACTACTTCTAGCGTTCCATCATATTAGGTTATTAGTAACTCCCGGTTTGTTCAACTGTTCGGTGAATCGAAGCTCAAATCACATTTGAAATAAGCACACCCACTGAGGATCGGTTTTACCAGGTAGTAAACTGAAATCCAGTGTTTCTTTTCTAATGTAGCTGGTCGGAAAGAACGTTAGCTGAATACGAAGGCTGCTACCGTGTGTGAGTTGTGTTCAGTTTATGCCAGGCAAACCTCTGACAACGTAACACCCATAACTCTGTCGGTGTATATGAATATGGAATAGCGAACTGAAATCTCATCAAGTTTACATCATTGGTCCAAGAATTATTATTTTCCAGTACATGCCACTAAAACCATTATTATCAAGGAACAAATTGCCAACGAGAGATCGGGCAACCTGAGTCAAAATAGCACGGTGAACTTCACTCACACAGGATACACCCACGTATACTCTGTCTTTCGTGAGTCAACCCTTTATTAATAGTTCGGTTTTATCATACTGAGAACCCTGTGAAAAGGCAAGGTTTTCAACTTGAACAAATTTTTCCGCATTCATTCCAGATTATTTTGAATCAAATTCTTATCCTAACCATGACAGCAATGGATGAACCATCTATGAAACGCTCAAATTGAGGCGTTTCATTTATTGAAAAAAGACATTCGACATGACAGTTTTATCGTTAACTTGTGCACTGACATGAATCTGGACATTTAATCAGCAATCCAAATTATATTGTCAGAACGGATATGATTCAAAGGTTGATTTCAGAGAGGTCTTGTTTTCTTTTCTAACATTCAGGTATGATTGACTTGATTAGCTGACGGACAGTATATTCGCTACTGAATTACGCAGTTATACGGAAGATCAGTCAACTTTTAGCTATGGTTGTAGTTCCAGCTACCACCCTCGCTCGGCTGGCTTGACACAGTCCATCTCAGATGGTTAGGAACAAAACAGCACGCGTATCTGATTGGAAATTTCCCATTCAGATAAGTTTGTCGGCTAGCTTAGTTTGAAAGAAACGCTGAACTCAAGATTCGTTCTTTTTGGGACCCATCAGTATTTCTTATCCTCGTTGTGACGGGGACTGTTACTTCGACCTTCGTGATTGTCACGTCAGCGTGTCAATCACTACTTTAGTATCATCACAGTATGTAGTACTACATAATCGTAGTTAAATGTTTAGTCTATTGTTCGGCTTGCTGGATTATTTCGACGAGAGAATACACGAGATTGTTCTTGCCTATTCTGATCAATAACAGCCTTAGACAATCAGGTTACGACTTGTACGACCGCTAGGTCTCTTAATATTTGTGAGATGATTTCACGATAAACATCCATGAAAAATAGTTAAGTATGATGAAATCACCCTCTTTTAGATTTATAAGCTTCAAAGCTACTGACAAATACACTAAAGAGTGTTTGCTCCATGACACTGTATGACAGGTGAACCTTACTGATTATTCGTTACCATTTTCAGCAGAACATTCTGAAAAATTTGTTTACTCAATCAATCATTCCTGGAGTTAATGACAGACAGGAAAATGTTATCGATTAATTTCAAAACTTTTAAACCCAGCTCCCGTATCATAATACATAAATTATGCAGGTCTCAGTTTCCATCACTGGCAGTCCAGCAATAACAAAATGTGTCTTACAGGTTATTCCACAACCAACCCTCTGGACTAGAACGTCGTTCGTACATACGATACAGTGGGATTGGTAGGTCATCGAGTCCAGATGTCCGCCTGGGATAATGGCGTGACTCCGTGGCATGGCTGATTACGCACATGTTACTTAGGGACATATGGTTCAGGCCACCGTGTTAAATTTAACCGAGGCTAAACTGTTTCATAATTAGGCTTCACCTAAGTAGTAAATATAATGCGTTCAAAATGTAGAATGTTTGATATGTAAAGTCATAGACCATCCCAATTTTCACTCACCTTATACATCAGACTTTGGATACGCTCCTGAAAATCATTGCACCTACGATAACTCTCTTCCAAATCCACTTCCTGCACATAGAGTTGATGCTCAAGAATCTTCAGCTTGTTGTTAGTTGTATTCACATCTCTGGAAGGATAATCTGGATTGCTCCCACCGACAAATGGAGTAGGATTCTAGTTTGTGAATAACAAAGATTCCATGGTGACTGTCCACTCTGCACAGTCATTTCATTTACCAAATGGTCAATAATTCATAACTGGTTCACCCAACTTCAACAAATTAGACTGTACACTATTGGACGAATACAATGAGCAGGATAACCAAAACTTTGAACGGTTTTTTTCTTTTCGTGAGTGTGAACAAAACATTAACACCACGAAAAGTGGTAAATACAAGCTTTCCATTCAAAGATTCATGCGGTTCTCTGAAGTGGTCACATTCAATCGAATCAGGCCAGCTCTGTGTGTTCAGACACTATTGTTCATGAACCTAATTCTTACCTGGACTTAGTGATCTATTCTGACCAGCTGATTGACCACCCACTACCTGTGTGTTATAATAATCGATCCGCGCTGCAAATTTGACGCTTCCGAGTCCGTACGCAATGATAGTTTCAACCGCTTTCCCAGTCTTCACTGTTTTGTTCGAGCAAACCTGCTAGTTAATTGCTGAATGCTAAGTTACTGATTACCATCGAAGCGAAAGTCAGAGAATCGTGGCCATTTGGATCATTAATTTCTAATTCAGTTACTGGAGTGTTTGCTATTGAAACTATTCAGTCATCAGAATTTATATGGTATTTCTTACGCCACTCCACCCTGATTAAAAAACATGCATATCTAGATAAGAAAGCGTTCCGAACACATTACGGGGCTAATGTACGACAGATACGTCGATCAAATCGTGTGGACCGGTTTGAAGACGAACATACTCGTTGCGCGTGTTCAGCGGGCGGCCACCAAGCCGGTATATGAATTATGAATCGTCATCAAAAATTCTTGATTTGCACCCACTTGGATTTCGAAGATTCTGTCGTGATTTATTTACTACACACTTCGTTTTTAGCGTACGACTGATCGAGTAGCTCTTTGTCTTAATGACCGACAGTGGTCAATGTGGTCATGACAAGAAACATCACAAGCTTCGTCCTTGAACTTTTATTTGACAGTAATTCTTTTCTTACAGAAATATCAATCAATGGGCCGACATTCTTTCTGAGTTCTTTTGTTGCTCCTCTAGAGATTGTACCAAAACGTTGTTAGATTCCCATTCAATCAAAACTTCGTTAGATTCGTAACCCTCATCTGTCCTTGGTACTTGCTGTAATCTCCAAGAGCGGTGTTACAACCAGTTTTCGATTATTGCTCTTTAAATCAACAGTAGCCCGTTGGATATAGTCAGAGAAAAAGTGACTGGAATCGGGTGATTCGCTCTCTAGCCACCACCACGTATGTTAATCGCTGAAATCGCTAAAATGGCTGGGATACCAGTGAATTGTAAGCGAATACTTAAAATGCTTTACATGTAAGATAATAAGTTTCGATAGTTTCTAATTTAACTGTTAGCAAATCAAGTACAGAATAGATCAAAAGGTCAACGGACTCTTTCAGAAACTTCACATAACATCCCCTAATCATTTTAACAAACAAAAGGTTAACCTCGGATGGTCAGACAACGTGCAGGGACATGAAGTTTATTCAGATGAAATTATGTCCAAAATAGTGTTGACTAGATGACAAACAACCACACTGTTCAATGAGGTCCCGTGAATGAGCTTCAAGAGGTTTAATCCTTATGCTCTTCAGAACTTGAATAATTGAGGTTCGACTGACTCCGAGTTTACGCACTTTTCCGCAAGGGATCGTGATGTTATTAGGATTCGGTTCATCTGGTTGAGGTGTTCGACATATTTTGTCCAATGACTCGCCTAGCCTTGTCATCTATATTACGGGTCGTTGGTAGTCCGAACATATCGGCTGACTTACAAAACTTGGAAGTTTAAGAGATGTGTCCGATGATTATGTTCATAACCGTATTAGAATTGTCCAATTTTCTAATAATTCACAACTGCAAACAAGTGAGTACAGACAGGGCAGTTGAAATGGACTGTAAGTCTGTCCATCGAGTAAGGAATTAGGCGATTCAACAGAATTCAACGCTAAACACACCCGACCATATTTCAGAAAATGGCGCTTAGCACTTACTTATTTAATGTGAAACTTGCTTGGCTCAGTGCTCTGGTGGGTTGGCCGAGTGGTTAAAGCAGTGGACGTAAGATCCACTGGGAACAATCCCCGCAGTGTTTGAACCTCACATCCACCAGTGACGGTAGCCTTTTATCCTCGTCAGTTCGCATAGGTGACGGCCACTCTCACAATCTCAAACACTTTTGGTACAACACTGATGAATGCCTTATTGTTGAAACCAGATGCAATGCTTTGTCGTTTCTTTGTTAGCGTATATCAGCAACGCCTATCAAGTCCACATCTGTCAACGTCGCCGTTATGTCTCTACGTCGAGCTGACTGCTCCGAGTCCAAACACGAGTTGTGTTGTTTCGTACTCTCGGTTGCAACATTCTCGGTACGGTAGCACAGTTTGATGGTCGCCTTCGTTTTTAAAACAATCTGACCTGTCGGGCCAATAAATCATTTAGGTGTGATAGAGACGACAATCTCAATCCAGTCTGTTGAGAGTCCGAGTCATAGTTTGACGATTGCCCAAGCTTGGGATGTGCGAAATTGTTCTCAGATTAAGGAGTCGGTACGGGATTTTTTAAAAAAAAATGGGCGGTTACCGAAACGCATTGTATGAATAATTGATTGTTTCTGGACTTTGATTCTTCCGTTCGTAACTTTACACAACAGTCTGCTATTCGGTTCTTCTGATGGACTTAATGACGATTAGTTGCAAACACGATCATGTCAACAATTCCGTCTCGATTTAGGAGACATACGAAGTATTCGACTAAAACAACTGACAACTTTCATTCATAGATTAACACGGTACAACCCATAAACAGTTTACTGCATCCTGCCATGCTCAAGATCATTAATGTTGGGGATTTCACATCTAAAAGTGGTTGTGAAAAAACTTACCTGCTTTGTGAATAAATCCCTCTGAAGGAACTCCAGCGTCGATGAATGCGAGCCTGGATTAGTAGGATAAGCAACCTGAACTCCAATGACTTCTGTGGCTGGAGCTATCAGCCGCTCTTCCAAAAAAGCTGACGATTGAGGTGTGGTTGCCCTGTCCTGTTTGTTTAAATAAGCATGAGACAAGGATTAATTATGTGAATCGAACAATATGTTTGTGATCGATGGGATCAGTTAAATGTTTGCCATATTGTATGACCATTTTGACCGAATGCTACCTGAAATGAAACGTCTAAGCCTGGTTGCTTGTTGTGTACCGACGTTAGTCACCTGGTAGGCTCACTTTGTGTCTTACCTAGACCTAATCAGCCAGTGGTGTGGTACATTACACATTCATTACTTTCTTCACAATCCAAATCCTAAGTAATGAAACAATTCCTGGAGGTTCAGAGGATATCTGCGAGGTGTGATAGAAAATCATCATCGTATGCTCCATCAACCAAGTCCGGCTGATACAGACCCATAAATTGGAGCAACAGTGCTCAAATATAATTTCTTAAATGCTGTTTTCTTAAAGCAGGATGATTCTTACAAGGGTTTTTCGTTTGATCACTACACATTCTGCAATGAACGGTAGACTACTGGTAAGTAGTTGAGGATTTTTCTTACAAAATATCTTAAAGAACACGGTACGATCAGTTAGACCGATGACCAAAAATGTTTAACTCTAATAGGTTAAAAAGTCACATGTACGGATCAATCAGTATTCAAAACAGGCGTTAATGAAACAATTATCGTTTTGCACTCTGAATTCCAGTCAATTGGCCTGCTCAATAAGCAAGGATTTGGAGCAGAAAAGTTTTTACCCCTAAGCCCGTTGCTCGTAGATGTATGCAGGATCAAGGTAGAGGCCAGTAGATTTCGCTGTAGTATCATCAACTGCATATTTAACAAGCTCCAAAAACTTGACATTTTGCTTGATTCCATGCAGTGACTGCATTAAGCCTATATTAGCTAGTTTGAGTGATACACATTGAGGCTTAAAGTTCACTAACAAACTGGAAATTAGCAAAAAGGCTTACTTTCATAAGTGTAGCTTTGTTTTATCGATCAGGTGGATCGATTCAAAGGTAAATCAGTTGCAGACACTTTTCTATGGTTTTGTCCCCTCAAATCACAACAGGATTTTGATCAGCTCTTTGTCAAACGGCGCATAAATTGCTGCCAATTGCTGTACTCTACAGGACGAAGTATACCATACTGAGGAAACACCCATTCAAGGCTGATAGGCTTCGTGACTTGTTAACAAAACTGTACGGACGATAACGAAGCACACCATACTCCATACAATCCATAAATCAAAAGTTGTGTCGGTCTTTTGTATTCGGATGAGTTTACGAGCTAGATAATCAGCCGTAACCTTTTGAGTGTACCCATGGAAAGGGTCATTGAATCATTCAGAACCTGCCTCGTGCTACAGTTAAGCCTTCAAAGTAATGTCATAGATATTCTTCCTCTTGCCCAGTCCAGCTGTTGTTAAGCTGGTTAATCTGAGAGATTTACAAAGGAGTTATCGGAAAGGATTCTTTAACACTTTCAAAGTTGATGTCAGAAAGGACATCTTGAGAGTCATGGGTTGCACATCAAAACTAACAGGTACAGCTTTCAAAACCGTTTACAATCTCCCCTAAGCCTATTCAATACAACTCCGACTATGACCATTATCGACAGCACAGACCATCTCCCTCAAACTCTACGACAACCATGTGCACTGGGAGACAGCTCCTACAAATTCTCAACCTTCATTGGCCAACCATCCTAAAACCACTGAAAATCTGGCAGACCTTGAACAACTTGACGCTGATACTTATGCGTATCACATGTTTCATCGTCTCTGCGCACCGAAGGACAGAGGTTCGCCTCTTCCTGTAAGACCTCTGACACTCATTTCAATATTCAATTAAATCGCGCATATCTTATACATCTGCGACCACTAAACGGTACTGACCGAGTACAAGTGTTTGCAAAACTGGATATCAATGTGGTTATTTCTATCTGAGTCCAACAATCAATTAAAAAACATGAGAGAGGGAGGGAAATATAACTACATATCTCCTGGTTACTAAAACAACATACGCGATATGTTAGTGTGAATAAATCTGTACACATTATCCAGAACTTCAACAAAGAAACACAAATTTGATGAAACGAAGTTGCTCCGTACAGTCCACTCGCAAAAATGTAACACTTAATATAAACTGAACATCACTCACAACCGGCTGAACCTTCCTCATTTTCACAGGCTTTCCGGCCGCAATTTTTCATAAAGAAGTAATGTGGTTGAGTTTCTTTCTCGTTAGAGCTCGTCAGTCGTGTTTTCCGGCGGTTTGTCTTTGCCGCGGCCGGGATTTGGACTCCGACCGCGCTTTGATAGAGCAACCATGTTGACCAGTGGATCAATGTTTTCATATTGGGGACGGTTGAAGTGGTACATGCAAAACATGCCAATAGTGCTCAGCTTACTCGATTGTCTTGAGAGGACAGGAAATGTCCCGGTAATTCCAATCGACGACTGGGATCGATCGCTAATGATTTTATTTAAGGCAATCAAAAAAACCTTACTACTTACCAGTACAGTAACACAGAGTAAAATGAACGAACGTTTGCCTGACTATGATTACCTGTGATTTCATAAAGCTATCCTAACACTTGCTAGGAAGACCAAGGCGCGTGTTATGTACCTGGATAATCCTTATGACCACACAACGAAAGCTTGTGGAGAGTGATTAAAATGCCTCAATAAACTTGAGCGGGTTTATTCGGCTGCACACTGTGATCACGCGGATCGATGAAGTTACTTCGAATGTGTGTCTGGTCTGACCTAACTGCCTGACGGTCGAGATGGTTGGGACCCAGTTGATTTGCGCACAGCCATTGTGTAGTTGACTTGTTGGTTGGCATAGTCACTCTGGTGGATACTGTTTGACCCAGTTCTCCAGCCCTCGGTCTGCTCTCCTAACGTGTATCACAGCAGTTATAAGTGGACAATACATACAGTGACGGGTTGGGTGAACAGAATCGAGCCTCCTGATTGGTGACAAGAGCATGGTTCTGGGGTGCTCAATCCAACGTAATTGGGCGTAGCTGTTTGTCCGATGCAGACCAGTTTCACCATTACGTTTTGATTTTATCATTGGGTTCCTGCCTTTTTAGGGTCTCAGCGAATACAGTCTTCTTCTATCCTACATGTTAAGGCTCTTTGTAAACCCGCAACTGGCTGTGATGTTCGATGAACATGTCGGGATAGTAACTCGAACCATAGTCCATATTTCAGTAACCGTAATTCTTCCTCTACTGTTTCAGCATTGAACGTTTTCCAGTTTCTGTAGAACAGTTTCGTAACCTGACGACATTTGTGTTGCACCGGTGAGAAGCTAAGAAAATCAAGTTATTGTCTTGCTGTTGTAGGTTTCCAACGCTCCGCATCTGTTTTATCTAATTTTGTGAGAATTAACGTTTCCAGAAGGGCCGCCAAATTATTGCTCTTTCATTTAACTGTAAAATGAATGTTTTTATGGACTGAGTTAAACTTGATCAGAGGGTTTCAAAGTTGACTCTGGTCTTTCGCGACTATTGGTACATCATCCAAATAGGTATTGCAAAGAACCGCCTGATTAGCTGCTTCCTAGACGTCTTGTTCCAGTTTATCCAGCAAACTACTGGCTAACAATGTGTCTGGCGGACTCCAGAGTTCTATCTCGTCGACCTTTTTACAGTCATCACTACTGAACTAGAGGTTCACATTCCGTGTGTAAAAAGGTACAAGATTTTTGAAAATCAGGACTAGTATACAGGTCGAGTACGGATGCACCAAAATATAGGTACAATACAAATTGACTGGTGTGGTCAAGGATAGGTTAGTGAACAGTGAGCGAACATCAAAGGAACACAGTTTTGTTGTTGTATGTATCAGCTGTTTCAAGAACTGGTAGAACTTCGTAAGTTTCCCAGAGGCCATGTTTAGTCAATTCATTTTCCAGATGTTTGAGGATGTCTACCATCCACCTGGTAAACTGATGACATGCAGAGTCAATCATTAGCAAAAATAGGTCGAATAAACATGTCTGGCTTACGAGATTTAAAAGACCATACACTTGTAGGTTCTTAGAGCTCACCGATCTGACTGTGGCATTGTGATTGTGAGATAAGGCCATGAAACCATGGTGTT